TGTCTTCTACAAATTCATATGGACAATGATGAAATATATCATATGAAGCTTAAATATTGAGTACGGAGGTCGGAGAAAAGCATTTCAGATACTTTAAAATCATTCAGGATTGAAAACTTGATAGTCTTAGAAGCAACCAATCATGAATTAATTTAGATACATTTTTGTTAGCATCCGACGTTACTGGTTTCTATTAGCCTTCTGTGCAGTGAATAGTTCAGAATAGTGACACATATCCGAAACGAAACAGACAATATTTCTGTTAAAGATAGAAATTATTAGCGACTTGTTAAATTATAAAATTATTCAAATAAGAATAGCAACTAATATTATGTAAATTGGCAATATCATACCTTCCGAGGACACGTAGTGAACACAAGATCTGTCTCTGTAGAATATAATTCCACAAAAACAAATCCTGCAGAACAGTAATACATCTTGAGTAGGGATTGATATTGCACAATTACATTTTTTATACTATAGCATTGTAAACGGAAAGATAACAACACCAATGAGTGTTTCGTTCTTCATATACATACATTAGGCCTGTATCTATCAGAGAGCGAACTACAGTCTTTTTTGAATATATGAAGACGTACATATACTCGTTCTGTTGCTTTCATTTATGATGATATAGTCGAAAGCAACTCCATTGGTACCGTTATCTTTCCGTTTACACCGTTTACAGTGTGTCTGTAATTGTGCAATATCAATCTCTACTCAGGATATATTACTGTTCTGCAGGATTTGTTTTTATGGAATTATATTCTACAGAGACAGATCTTGTATTCACTACATGTCCCCGGAAGATGTGGTATTGCCAATTTACATAATATTAGTTGCTATTCTAATTTGAATAATTTTATAATATTTCTGCTACTTTTGCTAATCAGTAGTGTAATATTTTCTAGATTAATCAGTGTCTAATATATTGTTCGTTGAAAAATATTAAAGCTTAAACTACAGTGCACGTCAAAAGTTTTTCCCCCTTTTGTATTTTTTAGTTTTTATTATTAGACCTTTGTAATTTATTAACTTTCTATATATAGAAAGAAAGCCCAGAACACGCTGCATCTAATTGTATATCTACATTGAACAACAAGCACAGTTTGAAGTATAAAAAGTGTATCAGAAAAAGACGTGATATTTTTTTTCTGTACAAATTGATCGAAATCTTAAAATGTATGAAGAGGAACTAGTTTTTAGGATAACTTTTGATTGAAACGAGATATAGACCTGCGGTTTTCACCATTAGAAAGAGGACATAAAGATGCATCGAATTCTATACTTTGCATGTCTCTGACAAGTTTTTTTAGGGTCTTTAGCGAACTATTCTTCAAAAATCAACTGTTTCATATTTTTTGCAAAAAAACTTCAGTTTATCCCCTGTGGAAGTCTCGATTTTTAAAGAAGGGTTCGCTAAAGACCCTAAAAAAACTTGTCAGAGACATGCAAAGTATAGAATTCGATGCATCTTTATGTCCTCTTTCTAATGGTGAAAACCGCAGGTCTATATCTCGTTTCAATCAAAAGTTATCCTAAAAACTAGTACCTCTTCATACATTTTAAGATTTCGATCAATTTGTACAGAAAAAAAATGTCACGTCTTTTTCTAATACACTTTGTATACTTCAAACTGTATTTGTTGTTCAATGTAAATATACCATTAGATGCAGCGTGTTCTGGGCTTTCTTTCTATATATAGAAACTTAATAAATTAAAAAGTTCTAATGATAAAAACTAAAAAAATACAAAAGGGGGAAAACTTTTGACGTGCACTGTAGTAAAAAGTAAAGTTCATATCATTCATGGTTTTTAAATGAAAGCCTTTATAGAAAATAATAAATGAATACAATATATTGTATCATCGAATTACTGATGCGATGAAAGCCGACTTCATGATTATAACTTCATATGTTTTTCAATTTTTTGCCATAGTTTTGAACTAATACAAAATGAAAAATAATTAAGTAGATATTCTTCATGATTTATAAATTTAACGTAGCCAGATATTGTACCTCTCTGCCCTTTGAGTATTCAGTATGGTCACATTAATTTTGATAATTTCTCTCATTTCACTATATTAATACAAAGCTTCGGAAATTTCTCGTTTTGATATAGTTGAATAGAGCATTGATTACCAGAGCCCCAACCAGGCCACTAGGCCTGTCTGCCTGTCACAGGCACAGGTCATGATTCTTAGGTCTGACCTGTGACAGGCAGGCCAGGCCGCCTGGCCTGTCTAGTTTTTCTTCGATATAAAATTTTTACCGCATAATTGAAATTTACTGTTAGAAAAAATTCAGTTGAGTCAGTTTTCACAAATGATATTTGAATTTAACGAATTTGATCAATACTTGAGAATAAATATTGAGGATATATATAAATAATCAAATCTATTACTAATATGAAAAGGTTATTATCATAATGAAGAGGTTCAATAAGTGATGGAACCTTCGCCCCTCGAAAATTTGTTTTTTCCTACCCGAAGTTAATTGAAAAGGGTTTCGAAAGTGGTTTCTGGTAGAATTAGGTCTGTTACTCCTCTTTGAGCTACACTCAAGTCGTTTGAAACAATCAATTAGTGTATTATATCGTATCGTTGATAATACTTAGATGTATTTAGCCATCAATATGATAATCGGTTATATTGATTTTCATATAGTTTGATAGAAATATTGAAGTGTTCTGAAATGCTAGCAAAACGTTAAAAGAAAGGAACTAACCATTAAAAAACGTCCAAGGAAAACTTTTCAATAGACTTTATTTTAAGTGTTTCTTGACTGATATTTCGCTAATTTTGATTAGAGGAAGTAAAGTTTGGATATAAACTGTTATGTCAGGAGATGTCTCTCCTGACATAAGGAAGCTCTACCTATTCTCTTGTGATGTCATCACTGCACATCAATGGCATTCTTACTCTTCTTTCTCAATGGTATTCTCACCATGGATAAAGAAAGATAAAGAATGGAATAAGAGACAGAGAGAATCACATTCTTTGCTGCTTTTTGTTTTTTGATTCATTCGCTGGTTTGGTTTTGAAAAGAAAGAAATAAGAATAATAAAGAAAACGGGTAAAGGATCCTAACATAAACTAAAATCATCTATACAGATCGGCATTTAGCATTGAGTTGACTTATGTGAATTTGGAACCTGTTTATGAACTTTTTTCGTAGAAAACCACTCGAGTCCTGCTCAGAATCAAGTCGAAAAATGAGTATTGACAAAAAAAGTGTATCGGTAGTTTAAGCAGACGCCATGTTGTGCTATAGTGTTATTGTGCAGCTGTAGAAATGTTTTTCTCCTGCTGAAACACCTTTTCGATGTGATTCTTTTTTTAACTTAACTTTGGAAGTCTGTGATGATCTGTTTCACGAAAAAATCAATGAAAATATTGAAAAATCAATAAGTCGTCTCAGTGTTAAATACTAATTCATAACATGATCCTAGCTTTGATCCGAATTATACTTCTTCTGATTACAATCTACGAATATATCAATTAAAGATATTCACAATTATGTCTGGGGACAAGCTTTCATTAGACATTTTTTCAGTAGTCAGTTTGCTTTTCATCGATATATTGTTAGCATTTCAGAGTTCTTAAAAGCCTTTATCAAACTATACGAAAATTAGCGGAATTCACTATCGTAATGATGGTTAAATCGACCTGATTATCATCAACAGTCGGATACAATATACTTATTCAGTATTTCAAGTGATCCAAGACAGTGTAAATAACTGCCACAGAGCCAATTTCACCGTCGATCACTTTCGAAACACTCGTGAAATGATTTTACGTAGAAAAAACCAAATGTTTCGAGGGACTCAGTCTTATTATTGGATGATCCCTCTTTTCTGTTTGCCACTATTTGCTCCGGAGAATGTTTGAGTCCCAGCTAGCTCAGCTGAAGCTGGACGTTTTCTTTGTATTAAATTTGGTAGCTACTGCACGTAGTCCTTCTGTCGATCATGGTACTATGAGTAACATTTTTGTCTGCCAGATTCATCCAAAATATTCTCGAACAAGAACAGGATTGTTTTCCTAAATTTTTGTATAGTTTTATTTCTTTAGTTTCCTAGATACCAATGCTTTTCAATTCATATTAAACGTAGAGAAAAATCCATACTGTCAACGCCTTTATAATGTGTGCATCTCCCTATAGTGAGCAGTTTTAGTTGGCTTTGAGCGGTTTCTGCTCGAAATCGATGACTTCCTAATGAAAGCCTCCTTATAACGATATATAAATGTTTGTTTTCTGACTTTGATCAACTACAAAAATGTACCTGACGATAACGATTTTCGTTCGACTTCTGTTCTCATATACTCTGATGTATATATCAGAAGGGAACATCTCTGTATAGTAAACACTGAAATACACCCATATTCAAAAAGTTCCCGGACTGTTTTTATTTCATAAAAATGAAATGAACTAAACTCATGAGTTTATGGTTTGGGTGTGAGTCTTGTATTCTTTCAGACTCACAATCACACCTACACTCATACCTCACACCCAAAATATAAACTCATAAGTGTAGTTCTTTTCATATTTATGAAATAAAAAAAGTCCGGAAAGTTTTTGAACATGGATGTATTTTATTGAATGTTCACATCAGGAAACTTTTATTGGTATCATCTAAAGTGATTCTATTGACTTGTTGGACTTTCTACGAAAATTAATGCTAAATTATATCTTATTATTACTATGATATTTGATTTAAAAACAGTAGACAGGCCAGGCCTACAAAAAGTGAGCCTGGTTGGACCTCTGGTGCGTATGTCT